GATGTTCTTTCTTTCGAACTGGGTGAAAATGAGAAAAAATCGAAGTTTACATTTTCAATGTTATTGAGAATTACTTAGATATATATTTTTTTTCATAATTATAGCTTAAAACTTTTAAGAATAATTCACTGTTATCGATCGCACACACAATGATAAAAACGGCAGAGAGATTCACATTCTTCGTAAATTCAATTGAAAGATGGGTAGAACGGCGGCCATTTGCAATGTTTATTCGCGTGCTTGGCAAAAATATTTAACAAATTTTGCACCACGTGTTTTTCCGCGCAATCTCGCCGGCGGAATTTCGTGTCACGAGACTACTACTTTTTATATGCCTGCGGAGGGAGTTGGTCGATGTAAAAGGTGGTATGGATGTTGTGTTGTTATTTTCTCTCTCTCTCTTTCTCTCTTTCTCTCTCTCTCTATCTTCTTCTCTTCTTTGCCTTCGCCGAAAACTGCAATCTCCTGAGGCGGGAAGGAATGCGATTAAGCGTTGATGGCTTCCTAAATGCAAACAACTCCGGAAACCGTAATCACCGGAGACAATCGTTCTCCTTCTCTGTCGCTCTCCCCTTCCTCAGGCGACACGGTGAGGGTGCTGTTTTACAAGGGATGGAAATTGAAAGGGTGGGTGTGTCGATTAGCCGGCGCCTCTTAATTCGCGATTATCACCCGCCGCGGTATTCACTTCCGAAATGCAAAATGGCGGCGTCGCGGAATTGTCGCCTCGTCGCTTGGTGTTTCGCAGTTGCCTTTTGTTTCGATTAATTATCCTTTGATTTTTCGTAACGCGCTTTCGCAATTGTTCCCAATTTTCTGCAAACAAGTTTCTGTGTATGCGACGTGAATATAATAAAACATATAAAACAAAATTGGGGAGACACATCTCTTTTCGATGAATAAAACGCGTCCGTTCGATTTGCCGCCATCTTGGTCATTACGATATGTTTGAACGATTGTCGGAACGTGTCTGATCCAATCAGACTGAGGTGGTGGCTCGGAATTCAGGGGTTACCGAACAGATCTCTCTCTCCAACGCGTCGTTCCGTTGCATTTTCCAACGTGATGGTATGGCGTCTGTGTCATTGAACACCTCGAGACTCATATTGTAACCAAGTTGCCACGCCGAGAGCGACGAGCGTAACGAGGGTAAAAGGACATTCACGCTTGCTAAGATGCTTGTCGGTTCAGTAAGAGGGTGCAAATACGGCGAATATGGGAAGTGAAGGGAGAGAACGAGAAACAACTTCAGAAAGTAAATAGCCTTGATAACATCGAAAATATCACTGTGTACACACAACAGGTTTACGTGAAATAAATGATAAAATAAGAAACAAAATAAAATCTCGAGCAACAACGGACGAAGTTCGATTAGATTGAGATCTTCGGTAAAAAAAAAAAAAAAAGAAAGAAAAACCCGAAGTAGTGGGAAAAAAAACGCGAAAGTCAGGGCGTCGATCCATTAATAACCGTCGATAAAAACTGTCGACGGAGTAATAGGAAAAGTTGCAGCCGAAAATGGGGAAACGAAGTTTTCCATTAATCTACATTAATGCCGCGCGAAATCTTGGAGTGTGTTCGCTTGCGCCTGTTGCGTTTAGCAAAAGCAGTCTAAAGGCTTTGGTAAACACCCTCATAAGCAATTAAGCCGCTTAGAAACTCCGCCGTTCATTTATTATCTCTGTCCCTTCTAAGCAAGCTCGCAAGCGCTGATAAACGACGCGCGCCGAGGCTAAGAAGTCGATCCTTCAAAGCAGCTCCTTAATTACATGTTGAGCATTTCGAAGTTCGTTTCCTCTCGCGCAACTGCTTCACCGTCGTCGAAAAACAATTATAAATTTGAAATCAATTTTATCGTCGAACAAATTGATTGTACAGGAAACAAAGGTTACATATATTTGTTTAAGAAAACAAAAGGATCTTTTTTTGTTTATAGAATTATATTGAAAATATATATTAGCGAAAGTTTTTAATTCTGATTGATCCGAAACATTTCTGTCGGTTTGAATTTCTTTAATTGCGCGCAAAGTTACGAACATTTGTAAATTTTGTCATCTTGAAACGACAAATGTTCAAATGTTTTGGAATATTCAATACCGCTCGTATCTACGGTCACGTCTTGAATTCTCGTCTCGCGAGAGCGGAGAATCCCTTCGAATCCGATATACGTGTGTATATCGATATTGAGATGTCTCAGAGCCGGGTTAGGATGAGGAACGTTGCGGTGAAGGGTTGATACAGGACAGTCCGAAGTTTGCCGACAGTTGAGGGAAGACGAGGGATGACCGGCGGACAATGAGGGTGCGCTTGTCGATGACGAACTCGGCCTGCTTCCAATCCCCGGAGTCGCTCGGGGGTTGCCCGAACAGCCGCAAACAAGAGGGGTGGGCGAGTCAGCATTTCCACCATCGACCCCGCCACCTCTCCCCCCCGGTTATGTTCCAAACGGTTTACGCATTCCCGAGCAACGACGGGGGTGCGAAGCGCTGGATATTTCTGCTTACGATTTTACCGTGTTTCCGCGATGTTCGATACTCGACGATATAATAATACACTACTATTTGGGGGGGGGGGGGGCTTAAAAAGCTCGAAATATATTTCCATAGAACATTTTGACAATAACTTTTTTTTCCGCGTATTGTGTAAAAAGAATAATTATCTACAACTACCCCTTTAAACATTTGTCATATACACATATCGCGTTGTGCACGTATGACGCGATTATAAAACATTTTTACAGAGAAAGCTTTCTCTAGAGAGCGTATAAAATTCAAATAATTAAAAAACTAAAATTGACGAATGTTGATATTTTCACGCGCGCACACATACGTGACATCGTTTTTCTAGTCCATGTAAGAGTTTGTTCGCGACACGTGAGAAAGAAATGAGATAGAGAAAATAATTATAACGATAATTCTCGAATCGCACTAGAAAGAGTAAAAATTTCCGCATTAAATTTACTCGCGAACTTGGTCTTGCAATAAAAAGCAAAAAGAAAAAAAAGGAGAAACAGTTACAAGAGAAACATACACGAAAAATGGCAGCGACAGCTGTCGACGCGCGAGTTTCGATGCCGTATCGCAAATTTCTATATCGTAAAACTCGGATATGAAGCGCAGTCCTCGCGGCGAAATTATTGCCAAGCGATATCGTAAACCGGACAATTTCCAATGTTATCGTTCTGCATTGCATTTTTTTTTTTTTATCTCAATAATTATAACGAACATATCACAACAATGTCTACAACGATAAATACTCTGTAGCGCAAACACGTGAATATAATACACAATAAATAACAGTAACAATATATACAATATATAACGGAACGGTACATAATAAATGAGAAAGAATAATATTCGTCTCTGAAAAAGCCGTGGTGTTTTATATGTGACTCGGTGAAATGCATTATACCGAAATACTATTTTTATCCAAATGTTGTACGTATACTTGTATGTAAAAAAAAAAAAAACAAAATATCGAACGTTCAATTCGATTAAAGAATATAATCTCGGATTTGCAAAGAATTTGCGAGAATAATTATCGCATTTGACGAGCAACTGCAAAATTCAATAATCGCGTGCAAACATGTCGAATACGTCGTTGTTAGGCTGAAAGAGACGTGACGGGAAGAAAAAAAAAAAATATCTTGATGTATAATTTTAAAACAGAATTTTTCTCTCTCGCCAAAGAATAACGTGTGTTCACAGTAGTATGAAACAATAAATAAAAGCCGTCCTCCGGAAACGAGCGTTGTGCTTGAGGTCGACGCGATGGGGATAAGGGAGAAGGAAGGGCGGGGAGAAGGAGGAAGAGGAGGAGTTGGAACGAGCTTCAAGAGTGCCATAATTTACGCTCCACTCGTTTCTTCCTCGTGTATACCTAACATGTACGAATGAAGCATAAATTCACTTGTACCCTTATCCCTCCCTGCCGTCCCTTATATTTGCGCGCGATCCGCCACCAAGAGGAAACTTAGCGTTTAGCCACGCGAGAACCACAGCAAATTTTCCGTTTGAGAAACGTTAATTGAGAACAAGAAGCGTTTTTTTTTTTTTTTTTCAGAAACCTAAAGTGTGACGTTGAACTTGGTGAAGCTTGGTTTTCTCTCCTTCGAGCTTTTGAAAATTTTATAAGAAATTACATCGAGGTAAAATACGAAATACGCATACATATAAGAAAACAAGCGCAACATTCTTGAGGAAAAATTTGTGTAAAAATTTGGAAAAGAACAGTGATCTCTAAAAAGCTATTTTTGCAAATTGAAAATTTATAGACAATTTTGAGTTTCGTACAGACGTTTTTTGCTCTTTGAAAATCAATAAAATTCTCTCTCTCGGTTCTAATGAGATAACAAATGCATTTCAGGTACGGTTCGATTTCTCAGAAGTGAAGGAGAAATGTAAGACGCGAAGGGGGATAATCACGTACAAAAGGCGCGCCCCATAAAACGACCCTTCAACCCCCCGCTGCACTCCCTGCAAGTCCGTTCATTCTGCGATACAGCACGTACGGTTCCTTGTCCGACAAGCCACTCCCCTCTCGACTCACCTCCCCCTTCGTTATACCTCTTTTCTTCTTTTTTTTTCGTTCTTCGAGTCTGTTAGCGCGCACAAGCTCGCTATTTATGAGGGATTCGCCCGCTAGGGTGGAACACACAATTTCTACCGATATACCGAGCTTACCACCACTTCTCGTCTTTTCCCACCATTTCCTGTCTGAATCGCCCCAATTTTTCTGCTCCATAACCTCTAACAAGACCCGGCCTAAAAAGCAATTGTATTTTTATTGATAACCGCGAATGGTTCGTTTAGGACGGTTTGATTTTGTCATTTTTTTTTTCGACAAAGATGATGAGATTTTATATCTCCTGTCGAACACAGTGCAGGAAAAACGTTGGAAGATATTTTTTTTCGAATATATTCGCGCCAAAAATATATTTCAATAAGTACAAGTTCTTGTGTGTGTGTGTGTGTATGTTATTTATAAGTTCTCTTTTTCAGGAGCTGCGGCGGCGTCGCGAGTTTACGTCGACGCTTTGTCCCGATTAGCTCGTCAAGCCCAGCTAGGAACATGGGGCGGTTCGAAGGATGTAGGTAAGTGAAACCCGCAAGTTTATACAATCTTTGAATCTACTAATTTAGATCAGGATAATTAATTAATTTAGATCGGGATAATGAGGATTAAAATAGTTAGCTTATAGTTTGCTCGAGTAGAAGCAAAATGAATAACGAATGATAATTATAGTATATTGATTTGTTTTCGGTAAGTTTAATTGTCCTACAATGACGTTGAAGTTTGAAAAAAATTTGAAAGTTTCATATTCGTAATTTACAAAACATTAGATCATCATATTTCTGTTCGTTATAAGGTACGGAGAGAAAAAACCGTTTTTCATAAAAAATCTCAGCTTTCGATTGAGTCTAGAAGTTAATCGGTTCAGAGCTATTGCTGAGATATAAAAATCTTAACTCTCTGCTGAACTCTGTCTGACTCGCGTAAGTAAGTTAATTACGGTCGGCCTCGCGCTGCGCGTGAACTTGGCGCGAAACACCGTGCCGTACCTTTTGATAAGGGAATAAAAAAAAATAATTTGTTTGTCTTACATTACTGTTCGATAGAAGTGAAATATATTTATTTTGCTCGACGAACAAACTTCGCACATTGTTTTATGTTGTATCTCAAATATTTCTAAAACATATCTAGTACTTTTTAATTTGTGTATTTCGTTACGGAAAACATACACAAAAATATCTCGTACAAATACAACATATACTTGTTGTGTAAATATTTGGAATATTTTATAACTTTCTCTGTTGGACGCAATTGAACGTGAGTTTTAGTATCGTGCTGTTTTCGATTTATTTTTGCTGAAACGCAGCACAAATATAAAGCAGCGCTCCGGCAGTACGAAGTTTGCATTGTTTTGGAACGAGGTGAGTCTCATTTCGAGGCTTCCAAAGCCAATAAAGCGTATTTAACCGTCTCTAAGCTCGAAAGCTCCCTTTCTCACGTTAGACGCTCTAATGAAAAAAAAAAAGAAAGAAAAAAGATAAAACAAAAGTTGCTAACAAGATCATTGCAGCGTGATAAGTGTACGTATTAAGCCTCGGGTCGGCGACCCGTGGACGTAGCTTGCGAGTCTTTTAAACCAGAGCAAAGCGGTCTTAGGAAGCTTCCCAAGTGCCAACGACCAAGCAAACTTTTCATTTGTTCTCTCGAAGGTTGTGGAATCCGATCAACAAGAGTGGGATTCTCAACAAGAAGAATCCCGCAGTATTTCGCAACTTCTTCGACTTATTTTTTCCAGTGATTCTACGAGATTTATTGGTTTGCAAAATCACTGCTGATGTTTGTTTTTGTCTCTGTGTACTCGATAAAGATATTGTTATTTTTGCTGTTATTTTTTTTTTTTTAACGTATTTTTTTTTCTTATACGGATATTGCGTATGTCGAGTTGAAATTCTTTTATCTCGACTCTCGCATGGACAAGTTAAGATTAATTGTAATTATACATTGTAACGATATATTTCTATATAGCGAATATATGTCTGATCATTCGGCGAAGATAATTTTCAACGGAATAATTTACGGCGAATTGCCGCACGATAATAATGCATCAGCATTGCGTATGGTGCACGAAAGAGAGAGAGTACACCGTCGACGCGGAAACGGAGCGTTCAATTAATTGAATTAATAAATTCGCCAATCGAGTCATTTGCCATTTTGCGCACTATGAAAATGCTCGCACACGAGAGAGAAAGAGAGAGAGAGAGAGAAAAAGAGAGAAAGAAAGAGAGAGAGAGCATTGCGCATTCCCGCTGTTTCGAGCATAATTAATTAGCTCGTACTGAATTAGCTATTTTATTTTACAAATAACGCTTCGTCCCGATGTAGAACTGTTGTTTATCGCGTTCAACGCAGCTTGTTGCAATTTATTATGTAATTGCCGGGTGTTACGGCCACGCCATTAATTATTTATTTATTTATTTTTTCTACCTCTTTTTTTTTCCATTTTGATGATTCGCTTATAAAATTAATCCAGCGTACTATGTATCCGTGATAATTTCGAGGTAAATTGTCTAAATAATTAAACGCGCGAAACACGTTTTAAACCGATTATCTCTTGAAAATAATACATAACGTAAAATAAAATTAAACGCGCGCGCGCGCCCGCGCTGTCGAATGACACGCAAAATATATCCCCAATAGTATAAAGTTAAATATTCAGTGTAATAATGAAAAATATAAATATAAAATCTTCTCGCTGTGTGTTGAGAGTTCCCTCTCGCTTTCTCTCTCTCTCAACGGTCTCTCTGCAAATATCTTTCATTCTCATTGCGAAATCAAGAGACGTTGCGATTAAACTGACAATTATCAAATTTACATCGCAAATTTAATCGCGATTCACGCGAAATTCTGTTTCCGATATTTATGTCGGGAACCATTTTTAGCGCGCGCATGTTCTTCACATACAAATGCGTTAAGTACCTATATATACACAATATAGAGTCGGATTAAAACATTTGCGTTATTCGCATAATGACTTTGATATGAAACGCGAGGAGATTAAACACATTAAAAGCCATCGCTATAAGATTAATCATCGTATTTTTCAACATCGTGGCGAAGAATCGTGGATTAAAATTCCACGGTGGCGGCATCGACGCAGTCAGCCGTGTAAACGCGCTTTAATAATAATGTAAACGCGCAACGAATGGGAATTAACGTGCGCTCGCATCACCATGAAACGAGAGAGTGAGAGAGAGAGAGAGATGGAAGAGGGAAGAGAAGAGAACGAAGGACAGATGCGCTCGCTGAAATCTGCCCCGAAACTCCATATTCACCATCCTTGTGAGAGAAAGAGAGAAAGAGGTAGCATGCATAATTGCATAAAATTACGAAGACCCGAATTATCGACGTCGCTTCACATCGATTAACGATGCAATATATTGAATAGTTTATTACTTGAATAGTTTATTATCAATCCACAAATTATTTATTCCTTATTTTTACGACAATATAAAATTAGGTTTTTTTTTTTATTTTTTTTATTTTTACGCACAAAATTGCGAATCTCTAAGTAAAAGTAACTTATTTTTTTGTCAGTAATTTATTAAGCGTAATATACATATAATATTCGACTTTTTCGCGACATATACGTCTCGGGCTGGCTTCTCACTTCTTATCGTCAGCTTTTCGCGCCCGCTAGCCGTTGAAGCCGCTTTTCCTGCAACTTTAATTCTACGCCGGAAGTTTTCGCTCTCTCTCTAGAAAAGCAGCAGTAAGAAGAGCTCCGCAAATAAGCGAGCCGAACAAACATCTCGTTAAACAGTCTTTTTTTCTCGGCTGCACGTCTTGAGGATTACACGTTCCGTAACGAACGTATTTTCTGTCTCTCACATTATGCGAAGAAAAACGCGCGCGCAACGTTTTACTCCATTTTATTCGCATTATTCTCGCGTTTTATTCTCGTTACTCATTATTATATTCGCGTTATTTGCACGCGTGAGGTGCGCGAAATTAACATCGCTCGCGTGTCTGTCGCGTCTAGTAAAACTGAACTATTTTTTTTTTTTATATAATACAACAGTAGGTTGGTAAATTTTCGCGAAATTTACTCCCGTACACGCAAGAAACGACCAAAGAAAACCCGGTTTGAAACGCATTGGTCTCGACCTTTACGCGATTACGTCGATGGAAATTTGCGTAGGAAGCACGAGCGACACTCGTGGAAATCTGTTCTCCCTTCTTCCGTTTCCCATCCCCCTTTTCCAAACCACGCTTCTATTCAGCCACGAAGGGAAGTCGCGAAAATTCGTAGCTCACGATGTTAGTGTGAGGCGAAATGAAAATGCAACAGCGAGATTGCCAATATCGTCACCCCAGATTTCCCTTGCTTCCCTTCTCGCGCCCTCTCTTCTCTCTCTTTCTCTCTCTTTCTTGTCTTCTCTTCTCTTTTCGATAGTGGAAAGATCGAAGAGATTCGGTCGATTTCTTCTTCTTAGCAGGCAAATTCTCCGGAAATGACGGAAACGAGAGAAATAGTGAATACCGAGAATACAATTTCCAGACGTACTTTACTAATCACATCTCGGATAGATAATTTCAACTATCGACAATTGTTCTTTTTTTTTGCACAAAAACACAGTTTTTATTTTATTGTCATATTTTTGGCCTTGTGTGTGACATTTACTCTATATGTTTTTTTTTCTTTTCTAAATAGGCTTTTTAGTAGTTTTATAAACACCGTAATTCTTTTGAGGTTGACTTTTGCATTTTGGTTTTTATTTTTTGTCGAGACCACAATGTAATTCGTCGAGTAGTGCGAACCGCTGTATAGTCAGCCGCAGCTGGCAGTAGATACGTCGCCTGTCAGTCAGATGAAACACGAAGGGGAAGAGGAAGAGACGGACGCGCACAGGACGTAGATACACAGGAATAATCGCAATAATAAATTATATTATTAAAATCTAGTAGAAAAATATTGTCGAAAATTGTTGGAAAACAAGTTACTAATTGACTGAAACGAGAGCTTTTGTCGTAACAACAATTAAACGCTTAAACAATTATATTTTACCTTAATAATTCGCGCGGTATATGCAACGGAAGTTAAATAGCATAATTAAAACAATTCCAGACTGAGTTATATACACACTTGTAACGGAACGTGATAACTTCAACACCGTCTTAAAACAATCGGATCGAGAATAATGTTTACAAATTTGAGAAACATTGTTGCCAAAATGTCGCGAACAAAAACATTCATGCGTCTCGCTATGTTCGTGACAGTCAGTGAAAATAACTCTATGGATAGATGTGCACGTTGCTGCGTTACGCTCATTCGTTTTGAGGCGCGTCCGAAATGATGACGTAACCTCACGGTGTAATATCTTTTGATGCGACGCGCGCAGAAATTCCGACAAGCGACGGGAGGCGGCGTAATTTCGCCGCGAATATCCGTGTGTTACGCTTAAATGTTCGAAGTTGCATCGTACATACGTTGCGTCGGTGTGTTGCGCGACGGCGTTGCATCTACGATGTTTTGTTGCAAATGTGCAACAGCCCAGCCTTGCGTTTCGCATAAGCGGAATTA